TTTGAGACAGGTGAGCTAAAAATATTAATAAAACAAGAGCTGTTGGTAGGACAGCAACGCTCGACTATTCTTAGTGCTTGATAGTAAAAAAAATGCTTGATACAGTTACCTCCTCCTGTTTACAGGTTGGGGTCATGATGGTGAACAAGTGTGCAAAGTTTCAAAGCCATATGTCAATGGACTTTGAAAATATTTGAACTATTACAAAAACTTTAACGTAAATTCTAAGTCGAAAAAGGGGCATAATTCTGTCAAAATGCTTGATAGAGTTACCTCCTCCTGTCTACAGGTTCGGGTCATGATGGTGAACAAGTGTGCAAAGTTTCAAAGCCATATGTCAATGGACTTTGAAAATATTTTAACTATTACAAAAACTTTAACGTAAATTCTAAGTCGAAAAAGGGGCATAATTCTGTCAAAATGCTTGATAGAGTTACCTCCTCCTGTCTACAGGTTGGGGTCATGATGGTGAACAAGTGTGCAAAGTTTCAAAGCCATATGTCAATGGACTTTGAAAATATTTAAACTATTACAAAAACTTTAACATAAGTGGTTACGCCGACGTCGACGCCGACGCCGACGCTCGGGTGACTGCAATAGCTCTACTTATTCTTATCGAATAGTCGAGCTAAAAATACATGTCTGTACAGGTAATAGAGCTCCACCTTTCAGTTATCTGATTGCTAAAATGCACCATTACCCTGAGAGACATGTTTTTTTTACAAGAGGGCCATAACTGCCCTGAAATCACTCACCTGAATATAAAAAAAATCTCCATGAACAAGAATAATTTTGACCCCAGGGCTTTTATTTGAACAAACTTGGTAGAAAACCCATTAGAAGATGTTTCATGCTAAATATCTAAGCTCTAGCTCGTTGGGTGTTTTAAAAGATATTTTTAGCTTTTACTATATACATTTAAGAAACAAGAGGGCAAAGATGGCCCTAGAGCGCTCACCTGACCCATCAAACTCATCGACAAGCATTCTGACCAAGTTTCATGACAGGTGAGTCAAAAATGTGACCACTAGAGTGTTAACAAGGATTATCCATATTTGATCAGTGTGACCTAGTTTTTGAACCCAAATGACCCATATTCAAACTTGACCTAGAAATCATCAAAACAAACTTTCAGACCAATTTCCAGGATATTTGGATCAAAACAGTATTCACAAGAGCGTTAACAAGATTTTTCTATTTCTAGTTCCTGTAACCTAGTTTTTTATCTGAGATGACCCATGTTCAAACACATGCGAGCAATTGACATTACGCCGCCTGTCAATCAAGCTGACAGGGGTCTTACAGATAAGCCAATCGGCGATCGTTATCAGTTTCACGCTAAGATGTCTGCAAAATCCGCCATTTTCCTTAGACAAACTATTTGTATAAGACAATGGTGCAGCAGTATTTATACTGAAATTATTTTGATTTTTTGTCAATCTAAAGCTATTTAATCGGTATATCAAAGTTACCAACTATCCTGACATATTAACAGATAGAGTCAGTTAGTTCATTTTAAAAAAAAATAATATCAGTAACTTTGTATATACAAAATGTATGAAGATAATAAGTTATATAGCAGGTACAAAAGCAGAGACATATATATTATCTAGATGTTGTCTACATCTCTGACGAAAGTTAAAATAGAGAGAAATAAAGAATCCCTAAAGAACGTACAAAACGACAAAATTGAAAATGTTGCAGGCTCGGTTTGATTGAGTCTGTTCATGGACGGTAAAGGAATGTGCAAGTAACTGTCCGCGCCCCCTAGCACCGGCTCATTTAACGTGACCTGGTAAAATTTGGAATTTTGAAACATCCGCAGATGTGTTCATATGGTTGTTATCATGGAACCTTCAATGTAACACGTAAGTGCCATTCCATGAAAAGCGGCATAATGTCCCAAAGTAAAAAATGAGTTTGCCCTAAACGGGAAAACAATGGGCGGAACTAAATAAAATGGAAATTGAATGGCGATCAGAGGTTATGAAGCCTGGCTATACCACAATGCATTAAAAAAGAATACATTAAACAAATACTCTATTCCTTCCTTTATTACAATTATGTCTATTCATAATCACATAATATATTATAAGGTCTGATATGACATTTTTTGTTCGTTCTTAACATGCTACAGTAGAAAAATAAAATGAGAGAATATGCTTTGAATATTTTATGAGAAATTATTCTACCTAAATATTTCTATTAAAGCTCAATGAATTAAGATTAATTATTTCGATACATCTACTTCAATAACATCATACCTAATCACGGTTTTATTTTAAAACCGAGGTCTCAGCGTCTGGTGTATGCGAAACTTATTTTGAAGTGAATAATATTGCGTTTTATCACGAAACATATCTAATGTACACATATACATATAATCATATATCATACTACAAAGTTACGCAAGGGCAATTTTCTCATTCAATTTTAACAATTTATGCACACATGCATTATATTTAAATGATTTCGCACATAAAACCCTAAAAACATTTGTAAATGTTACTGTGTTTTAATATAATTTTACTATTTATATGTTCCGCTACTTAAATTTTAACTATCTTTGAATTTGTAAACTAAAATGATATTTTGTCAGTAACATCTTCCTCGAATTCAACGAGAAATATAACAAGATCTTTGCCAAACGCTTTATTCATAATTAATGCATGAATGAAGTTATTTGTTACTTTTTTAATACCATTATACATTGAACTATTCAGGAAAAGTATTAAACTTTTATACCAAATTATATAAGGAAAATTCATTAGTAACTTTAGTGGCACAATAGTTTCCTGTAAACGTCGGTACCGTGTTTTGTCTAAGGTTCTGAATGACCGGGTCACGTGAATCAGTGGGCGGAGCAATCTCTTCTCTGGCGTAATGTCAATTACAAATGTACCTAGACAAGCATCCTGACCAAGATTGATGATAATTGAGTTAACTAGAAATGTGTCCATAGGACACGGATGCCCCCACACTCCACCAATTTGTCAATCTTATGTCTCTAGGACAAATATTTTTTTGGCTACATGTGCCCAAGTTGAAAACTAAAAGTCTTTTATTTAGTAAAGGTCAAATACTACAAATACTGAATAAATCCGCAAGAAAATCCCAAGGTACATAAGTGCACATGCTGACCAACATTCTTGTAAACTTTCAGGCCTTATACTAAATGAAAAGCATGCAAAATAATAATACAATGTGATGTCATTTACAACGTCCCATCATTTAGTTGGTTTCAAGCACTGTGCACGCTGGTATTTAACTGAAACAACGTAAGGGGCTTAAATTCAAAACAGTGAAATTACGAAATTGATAATTTCACTGTTTTAAACAGTGAAAATATCAGTTTTATATTTCACTGATATATTTTTATAAACCACAGAAAATCATGTATTACACTGCACCACTCTAAAAACTAATCTATAACTTTATCTACTTGACAAATATTGTAATAGGAGAATATTAGACATTTGAACTGAAACAAGTGTTAAAAGTTTTTATTTCAATTACATGTGCATAAATAACTTTCCCTTTTGACACTCAAACAAAAAACTTTAACTGTTTATGGAAATTAAGGTCTAGTGCCAAAAAAATAATTTTTATTGTTTATGAAAATGAAGGTCTAGTGCCAAAAAACAAATTAAAAAAACAAACAACTTTTTACTGGATATGGAAATTTAAGTATATTTGTTATACTGTTAAAGTCTAACTATTTAATCAATATCCATAAATAACAGTGAAAGATATAATTAATTAAACAAAGTTATAACTTGAGCTGTAGGTGCAAAAGGTGCCAGTAAATCCCAACAATCCAGCATGTGGTAAAGATAAATGCCAGTCAATTACCAGCAGTAGGCTGGCATGCAGGGGGCGCCACAAGGGGACCTGCAGGGGGTGCAGCAGGGGGGACCTAGGTACACATGGACCAGGCTCTATACTGCCTCACTCCATATGGAGTTCTTAATTTTTCATGGTATGACACTAGCCTTGTAGCTATTACATATATAATTCTAGACACCAATTCAAGGCAAGGCTACAGATTTATGTCAATTATTTTTCAAGTTGTTCAAAATGCTTTAATAACATATTAAGGAATCATAATTGAATTTGAAAAGAAATTCAAAGTGCCTTAAATGGTCATGTGTGTTGCAAGGAACATTTTAGAGATTAATTGTCATTTTTAAATAAACCATTTATGGGTAAAACGAAGGAAAATGACAATTGTTTCAATATTTATAATAACAATTTTTAAAAAATCAACAATTTTTCAAATATTTGTCTACATTTCATATACTTTACTTTAAAGAATTTGTACTTCATATCCATCCTGAATAATAAAATGATGATGCTGTTGACTTATATAAATTTATTCAAGATTTATTCTGTGTTAGATGTGTTGTCCTTGATTATCCCTATTTCTCCAAGTTTGTTGTTTTATGAGTTATAAAGTGTTTTTTATTTGTTCCTTTATCTTAAATATAACACGTTTTTAGATATTTTGTTTCATTGCAAATACTTACAGCAACTTGACCCCAGATTCATGCTAATCTCCATAAAATTTTTGAAAATGTATTAAAAAGTAAAATATTGTCAAGTGAAAAAAGAAAGTAATTAACACATTGCAAACGGCACTAACAATCCAGCTTAATTACCAAAAAGAGGTCAAAATATACCAAAATAGCCCTTACTGTGTTAGTCATGCTGTAGAAATATGGTGATAAATATCACAGAATCAATTATCAATCACACATAACTTAAAAATTATAACTTTAACCTTGAATCTTTTAACTTTTAATAAAATCTTGCAAAATACGCAAAAATAGCACACTGTAGTATTATGGTGATAAATACTGAAAAATCAGTCTTTAATCACACATAAAATGTAAATTTTTACTTGAATGAAGTTACTTTACAAATATCTTAGAAAATTTTGTCATGTTTTATTTTTCTTAAAAATATTTTTGCTCATCTGGATGCATGCAGTTTATACGAGGAGCTGATAAAGTAAATCAGTCATAACTTACATCATAGATAAGTCCTAGAGTTAAAATATAGCTGGCTACCAACATTCCGCCTAATCCCAGTAGATGTAGTGAACGTCGACCCACTTTGTCCATGATGAGTGCCGAGACAAACGTCATACTAACATTTACGCCACCGACAGCCAGGGTGGCATACTGCGCCACACTCTCCGATAAACCGGCCGTTTCAAATATACTTGTGGAATAATATATAACCTGTAAATAAAGTAACAAAGATCTGTCAAGTAAGAAAAGGGTGTATGTGTTATGAAAATCAAGACTTGTTTGTTAATTGACATATCTTACAAAACGCATGCCTTTTGAGTTTAAGTTTAAACATACTTATTTTAGATAATTTATAATGAAATCTTAATGATCAGACTCAATCAAACCAAACCTACAATTTCCACTATTAAACGATCCCTCCTTTACACGACTTTTGGCCCTTACCAGTACGGTGTTTTATTAAGAAACATTGCCATGACCTAAGTAGGGTTCGAACCCATCATCCCTGGATTCACAGGCAGATACCTTTACCACTAGGTCACTGCTCCAGACAAGAGCTTTAACTTAAAAATCATGGTGGCAGGGAAGGTGGTTTACCTTCCGGATCATGGCAGTAAGCCACAATATATTAACCACAGTTCAGCCACCACACAGTTTCTTGGCAGGCTGTCAAGCAGTTTACCAGAACTAATTGCCTTCACCTTTGCAAGGAACTGATAACTTCTGTAAGTACAGTGCTTATGACTGTAGAAAAGATTTCATGATCAAGCACAATGAAAGTAACTTGCACTGTCCAGGAATCTAACCCAGGTTGCTGGATTCACAGTCAATGGCTCTTCTATTGAGCTACTAATAACCGAATCTACAAGTACAGCTTAAATATTGTCTCATGACTAATAACTAAGGCCTGACTAATATCTCAACGAATAACTTATTTAAAAGTTGATTTCAATATCGGAATATAAAACTTCATCTCCTGACAGTATAGAGCCTGGTCAGACAGCACAGGTGTGCAGGCTGTCCTAGCTCAATTCTGGTAGTTTAACTCTTACCAGCAGGTTACAGGTTCTTGAGCGATATTTTATAATGTACTTACAGCATTTATACCAGCCAGTTGTTGCGATAGATGCATAGCTAAACATATAATCAATGGTGTACGTAATTCTTCCTTGTGAAATAAATCACAAATTGTAAACTGAAACAATAAAATATATCGTATAAGTACCTAATCTCACACCCAACCTATTCTCAAACCTTTCATTCATGAGCTGTTATTTATTTACTAGAAGTGACTATGATGTCTTCAATTTGTGTGAATTAAAGCTTAGTTTCTGACAGACATGTCTTCTGCTGTAAAATTAAAACAGTGCATAGTAAGGAATATTAATATTAAATATCTTATCACTTAGCATAATTTCATACAAATTGCTATTACCTTTGTAAGTCTTGTGAATACACCATTAACTATAAGTAAAAATGAATATCAGAGACAAAATTATCTTAAAGCAGGTACCTGCTTCCTGTAGGGTACTTCATTGCCATGTGATATTCTTATGACAATCACTTCATTGGCTAAACTAACCAGTAGAATTTCAGACAGACTTGAAGGAGTTTGAGATTAGATTCTTTCTTTTAAGAGGCCATGTCAGTTTTACAAAAGACGGTTGTGCTTTTCCAAGATGGAAATAGAGCTTTTTTAATTGTTGAATTTCAGTCAAATTTTACAGAAATATAAAGATTAAAGTGTACATATGTAAAGAATTTTCATAAAGATATCTTTTTTATACTAAAAGACCTCTTGAATGCTTAGATGTTTGAGAACTGGTTTGTCCACAATATATTTTAAAATCAGATATTTTTGAGAGGCCAAAATTTCATGAAATCATCTTTTTAGACTAGTTGGCAAGGTTAAATATTTGCGAATTTTGACTCAGTTCCATTAAATTGATTCTTAGCCAATAAACTTTATTTTAATAAAAATTTTCTTTTTGTGAAATTTTATCTATCGCAAAATTTTCTGAATTTACAATATGTGTATAAGGCTTGTCATGAATGACGGCTTAAAGAATGGTAGGAATCTATAGTCATTAGAATTTTACACAGAAAAATCTTGAACCATGGCTTAGATTAAAGCTGTGGTTGAACTGGTATTATAGGGAATGAATGGTCGAAATATTTAAAGAGAAAAAACAACAGATGAGACAGTTCTCAAGAAATAAACAATAACAAGAATCATCATGCATATTTGAATTTATCTCACACCTGCGACTGCTTTGACGACTCCCTAAAATTGGTATTGGATAGTTGTGCATATATTTTGACATGTTGTCATTTGCATTATACAAACATAACTTCAAGACCCACTTTATGTTAACATAACAGTATAAGCGTGTCATGAAAAAGTGATTTTTTTTAAGTGTTAACAGTTATTAACGGTATATTCAATATGTGATTGGTAGAAAATTATGTTTAAGAAGCTTCATTACTTAAACTTGCTGAATAAAATAATACTATGCATGCAAGAGGATCGCGTTACATAATTTTATTCAACTTGTTTAATGAATTCAGTATTGAACCTACACTCATTCAATATCCTCTATACATGTATATCAAAATATTAATATCAGAAACCATCATAGCGCAAAAACAATGCCTCCAAGAAAACATGATTCAAAGTTGATATTAAAATTTGTAAAATCAGTTTAATGAGTACATTTTTATATGTTTTCAAAGTACCAGTATGGTATACCTTTTTTATGTTGTCAAAGTAACAGTATGGTATACCTTTTCTATATGTTTTGCTTTCTCCCTTTCTGCAATCATCTCCTCGATCTCGTCACTGACATCATGAGTACCTCTTAACCATACTAATGCTGAAATCAAATTACACAAATGTTTAATTAATAATGTAAATAAATTTCTTAAATTCTGATTGGCAGCTATATTTTGTATACTGTGTATACTATGCTGTATATACAATGAAGACCTCCTTTTATGCTTCTAAAATAAGTGCGTGAAGTTACAAACAAAAAACATAATGATTTTCTGGTTGATGAGACATGATGTTGCAATAAAAATTTTAACCTAAGTATTATATTGACACCAACATCAACTCCGAAACTTGAATAGTCAAGCTGAAAATGAAAAAAAAAGTCTAACAACTGTACCTTGTCATGAGCAGCCAAATATTTCAAGTTTCATGTTGATAACTTTTAAAATGTTTAAATAATTGGCTACACTAACGGTTTTGCACAACAACTATGTTGCAGTGACCATTATAGCTTTTTTTTTCAAAACAGACAAATTAAAAATTTGTTTGTTTGATTGGGTTTAATGTCACATCGACACAGTATAGGTCATATCGCCACATGCCAGCTTTACTGGTGGAGGAAGACCTCAGGTGCCCTTCCGTGCATTATTTCAGGAACGAATGAGCACCTGAGTAGAACCACCGACGTTCCGTAAGCTAGCTGGATAGCTTCCTCACATGAAAGAATCCAAAGTCCCCCTCGGGATTCAAACCCATAGCGTTGAGGGGCAAGTGGTTTGAAGTCAAAGACCTTAACCACTAGGCCACGGACGCCCCTCAAATTTAAAAAAAAAAAAGCATGGTAAAGTTAAAGCAGTATGTCAGTAAGCATTATTACCCCTTTCAGCTTCATCCTGTGAGTTTCTCTGTATAAAAAGAAATCTTGGGCTCTCCGGACAACATGTCAAAGAGCAAAGCTGCCACCCTATGAGTATAACAGGAAAACCTGAAACACAAAATACATCATACATGTAGTCACATTACCTATATGTAAAATTAGATAGCAGGCACAATTTTTCTGGGGTAACAGTCTGACTTCACATTAAGGTATGGCAAGTTTGATCCTTTGCTACTTCAATTAAAATTACAAACAGTCTTTTGAATGTGGCTGTAAATTCTAAGGTTTTGTGTAAAAGTGCTATAAGCATGTTACAGAATCACTTGTTTTTACTGAAATTTAGTACATACTGTTTGGCTGTTCTATCAAACAAAACAAGAGCTGTCACAGAAGACAGCGAAGCTCTACTAATAAAATACTGGACGCAGTAAGGAAGACAAAACTATGAAAGAAAAATCAATTATGTATAATTATGTATTAAAGTTACATTAAATAAATATGTAAAAATATTTTGCCGTCGGCCTAAAAATTAAACATTCTACAGTTTCATTAACCTGTTTAATAGTATTGTTGTAAATCTCATCAAATATTGTTCATAAATTAGGATTTTAAACGGGAAACCCCACGGTAACACTAAAGTTCGTATACGAATTTTAACATGCAAATGAAGACTAAAATAATGAGCTCGTGTATGCGCTACCTCACAGTTTTATAGTTGCTATCCGGAACACAGCAAATGTGATATTTTCTTGTGCAAACACACTTTAACCGTTTAAGCTTCACGGTGCACTAAACCTGTGGTTCAGTAAAAGTAATCATCTCGTAAAAAGATTAAATTTGTATGAAAACATCTGTTACAATGCGGAAATGTACCGTTAAATTAGGACTGCCACTTATAGTCATGTTTGTTGATTTAATATTGATGTACGGATGATCCGAAGGCGGAGTTTCTCATGCAAACAGAAATTGTACTTCCCATTTCGCCACAATGAGGTTACCTATTTTTATGCTAATAAAACTCATTTTGGTTGTTTGGACACTAAAATAAGACTTGGAGTCGATATAAAACCCAATTTATTAATGAAATGTCGCTATTTAGTTTTTTATGAAATTTATTAAATGTAACTTTAAGTTAAAATAAAAAAATAAACATTTGTTAACATAAATTCCAAGTTCAAGGGGGAACATTTTTCTGGAAATAGACAAGCCAGAGTTATGAACCTTGTCTCACAGCATGAGTGTTATGATAAGAAATATATATTTGAAGTTTGAAGTAGATACCTTAAAAAGTTATATTATTTCTTAAAGAAAATCCTATGATCAAAGAAAGATTAATCTGAAAATATGGCTTCAAGAGTAATGAACCTTGTGACATAGATGTAATTGATGATAAGGAATAAGTATTTGAAGTTTGAGGTAGATACCTTTAAAACTAAAGAAGTTATAGTAAAAAATAACATTTTTCAAGTAAAAAAAAATCAAAGTTTATGGGGAGATAATTCTTGAAATATAGGTGCTAGAATTATGAACCTTGTCACATAAGATGTGGTTGATAATATATTGATGATAAGAAACATATATTTGAAGTATGAAGTTGATCCCTTAAGAATACAGTAAAAAAAGTATTTTCTAAGAAAAATTCTAAGTTCAAGGGGAGATAAATCTAAAAATATTGGTGCTAGAGTTATGAACCTTGTCACATAAGATGTGGTTGATGATAAGGAATATATATTTGAAGTTGATATCTTAAGAAATGAAAAAGTTATAGTGAAAAATATTTTACTGCACCAAACTTTAATCTGAAATCTGGAGGCGGACGCCTACGCCGGGGCGAGTAGGATATTTCTCCATATACTTTGTATAGTAGAGCTAAAAATTAATTAATACCCATAATAGGCTTTTGGAGTGATAAACAAGACTAAAAGATACAAAAATATCTAAAAAATTAACTATCATCAGCACAATTTTGCTCATATTTATTTCCAATGTTTATAAACAAAATTTCCAAATCAATTACATGTATTTTGAATACATGTACATGTATGTAGTAAATATTTACCTAGTGCTAGTTGCCAGTGATCGTCAGTTCCTAGTACATTACCTAGACCCATGACAGTCGACATGAAAACCCCAAATGTGATACAAAGTTGGTTAAATGTGCCGCACAGACCTCTTAGTGACACTGGTGATATCTCCGATAGATACATCGGGGCTACCCCTGTGTTTATACCTGAAAATTAACATTAAAATAATAATTATGATTGAAAAAAATTTCAAATTATGGTAATACCTGACATAATACAGGTATTAAGACTAAAATCCACGCTCATCTGTTGATACATAAAATTTCTAAGTAAAACAGTCCTCTACTTTGATAAATGAAATTAAAAGTTTTTTAAAGGTTTATAAGGAATGACTGCACTAACACTATATGCACATCCGACCAACAAGTTGTAAATTCTTATCATAAGCGATTTTGGTAATCAAGTGGAAAGTGTTGTTATAATTTGAAAACTAATCTATAGATAAAGGCCCCTTGTAATATGCCATACAAGTAAAACCCCTGTGCTTGTACTCTAAGGTCCTGGTAATAATAGCATTCCCACTAATACTTGAAAGTCAATGTAAATGCTGATGTTATAAATGTTTGTAAATATTGTTGTAACATAGAATAATGATGTAAAATGTATGCCTCCATAATAAAGTTAATGTTCTTCTTGCATTTTTACTCATTTAATTTAAGATCTATAATATGTCAATACTGAAGATATATTTCTCGGTGACAAAATAGTATAAGAAAATCATCAATTATAATAATAATGAGAATGATGATTATGATGATTAAGATGATGATGATGATGATGACAATGATAATGATGCCGGTAGTGGTGGTGATGATGATGGTGATGATGATGATGACTATAATGATGATGATAATGATGTTGTCATGGTGGTGGTGATGACAATGATGATGTTGATGATGATGATGATGATGACAATGATGATGATGGTGGTGGTTATGATAATGATGATGATGATAATGGTGATGTTGGTGGTGGTGGTGGTGATGATGATGATGATGGTGATGATGATGACAATGATGATAATGGTGATGTTAGTGGTGGTGGTGATGATGATGGTGATGATGATGACATGGAAAAAATCACATAAATTTGATGAAAATTAAAAATGACTAAAAAAACAGAAGATAAGACTGCCACTGGGAATGATATAAACAAAAATAAATCTGCCCACAATTAAAGCCTTGTTCCCTTTACAAATAGCCAAAGGTCTATTCAACTTTTAGCCTTTACCTAATTTACAATGTTTGTACAGTGGCTTTTACTAGGAAGACCCCCTTCCCTCCAAACTGAAAATATCCCATTTGACCACTGCTATCAAATACATTACAACTAACTCATCAGTATTTGTTTTAAAGATTAAGGACTATTCCTGCAACATGTCTTTTATGATATTAATATTAGTAATTCATGTAGTCATTAAATAATGTTGGCATTTGTGCAAAGTCATGCTGAGAATAATTATTTCCCCATCTGAACTTCCTGTATACCAATAGGGGTAGACCTCCATGGGTTGGTGTCAAACAACAAAACAACTTTCAAACTAAATGGACTCCACTGAGGTTTTTTGACATGATGGCACTAGAAATAATTTTTCAAAATTAATTTTCCAACCAATGTTGCAATGCTTTTTACTCAAATAGGTCTAAGATTGGGACAAAAAAAAATGATTTTCAAAGTATTTCGTAGTTATTTATTTCTTAATTATCTTTTGCATATTATTTTGTCTCAAAATGCCCATCTGTAAGAAATCAAATTTTATGTTTGTAGGTTTTTGGCTCTCCGTGGAGTCCCTTTAAATTTAATTTGTTCAGCTTGTGAACTAAATATATTTGTATACCTGAATTAAATGAAGTGGACCTACTATTGTACTCAGAGTGCTTTGAATTTTTTTTTAAAGGGATCTATTAAATTCTATGCACCTCTAGATTGCTTGGATTTTTGTTTAAAAAAGAGGTTTTCAATATTAAAATGCTAAAAAATTTATAAACATTTATATATAGTCGAGTATGAAGATATGATTGTGTATGTAAAGTTTCCTTCATTGCAGCATCCAGAAAATTAATTTTACAAAAATATCTACATCAAAAATTATCATTTATTGTATATTTATCAATGAAACCCTACTGAGGTAAAACAATACAAAAAAAAAAATTTTGCATAGAGTTACTGAAGAAATTAAAAGTGAAGAAATTAAAATGAAAAAAATATGAAAAATGTGATAACAGTTAAATACTAAGACCTAAATCAAATTAAGTATGATTAAAGCCCAATTTGAGTTTAAAGCGTATTTAAATGATTTTAGAAAAATTGAGTGAGCTAATGATTTGAAATTTAGCACATAAGTTATTGGTATAGTCCTAAATCAAAAAGTATAAAAATCTAAAAAAATATTTCCGGTCATGTCAAAAATTCTGAGTGGAGTCCCTTTAATCTATATTCTTATATAAAGTATATTTTTAAACATTTGTCCTCAATACATGAAGGATTAAAAATATAAATACATATGTATATATATATAAAATAAGATTTTTAATGTTGTTTTTTTATGTTCTATCATGTAACATAGAAAGTGGTGCACTTCACATAGTTGTAACATATAGGTGTGACCTGCCACATCTTCTTAGTTCAAGTGTGGCAATTGGTTGCACATTTGTATCCTGCAAGTGTGAACTGTCACCTTATACCCAGTAACAGTGTGAATATAAATATTGTAATAGAATGTTTAATTAAATAAAAAACCAGGGACTTATTTACATAGAAATAAGCTCTGAAAAAAAAAGAAGAACATTTTCAAATCCTGATCCACAATCTCTTGCTCAAGGTTCATCAGGCCCTTTGAGTTGATCAATTTCCCCCATCTTGATTTACATAATCAAATATGTTTACATTTCCATTTATTGCTATTAATAATTTTCATCATCTTAATCTTTATTGCATTTTTTATTTTTACATTTTTTTGCAACTTCTTATTTGTTACTTGATTAGCTCTGTGAAAGAACAATACAAAATTTTAATGGCAATACCTTTTTATTAAAAACAAAAACCACTGCAGAAAAATAATATTAATTTTACAAAGTTCTTCATGAAACAAAAAAGGCACTTATAACTTTTTCTTTAATATAGCCAGAATGGCTGTCACATTTTTTAGGATAATATCATTTCTAACTTCTTGCAACTGAATTCACAATTAATTTCATAGGGAGGTTCAAAGTCGAAAATCCCTAGATCCGTGGGCTGAAAACTAACCAAATTAATAGAAATTTCAATTTATTTTAATTTAGACTTTAATAATTTTCCAACGCAGTATATAAAAGGAAATTCAAATCATTATTTTAATACCACTAGAAGTTTATTCATCGCTTTTAAATATTCATTTTCACCATGCACTGTTGATATAAA